CTTTGACAAATGGCAACCAACATCCAGATCTGTATGGTATCAGTGAGTGGGTAAATGATGTTAGTTAGTGGCCCAATATTCTGTGGCCTGATATATATACCTATTTGATCGAGAAACCTAGCGTGTACATTAGGGAGAAACTACAAGCATACAAGTCACTGGATGCTTATGACTACATTATCGAACATAAGCAGAATGTTAAATGCCACGACATAGACTTCGAGTTTTGTGTCTCGAAATCAGAGGTCCTTCCTAGTCAAAGACAAGGGCATAAAACCGCCATGTATGACGCGAGGGTTATAATCAAAAAACCAGAAAACTACGTCCTGACAGCTAATTGTACCTGCATGGCAGGGTAAGTATTATTTTGTATTGTTGGCTTGCTAGCTAGCAAGTTTGAGTACATAGTTGTCATGCAAACATGAAATCTGCTTCGGTTTACCATTATTCTCACATATTTCATTTAATGTCTGTAACCGTGAGACAAGCTAATGCTAATTATCAAACTTTAGCTGCATTATTAGTGGTCTACATCTTACAAACAATTGTTCATATAAACGAGCCTTTCCAGTGAAGTCCGTGAGTAAATGGATAACATACCTGATATAAAATGGGCACTGCAAACGCGAGCATTTTTGATCGTGTCCTCAGGCCAGTCAACACGTTTGATAGCTTGCAACCATAGACGTCTCCGATTGCTCCGATACGGATGTGATCCTCTCGGAATCCTGTAAAACTTGAGTCCACCAATGGAATATCGATTCTGACAGCCGTACACGCGACAACCAGACATTTCGGTGCTGGTAAAATATCTAATTCAATGTCTGCAGATTCATAACTTGTCTGACTGACTTGGGGAGACCGCTACTTCCGTTGCCAAGATGCGCACGCATCTTTTTGATGACGTCGGCTGCAAATGGGTCTATAGTTATCAAGCATTTTCCTGTCCACATTTATGGTGACATAAAACGTTGATGTCTTTCAAAGCATCTGAATCCCTGTAGCTCACAAAACGATTTACTGTGTCAGTGTAGACCAGGAGCCCACAGGGGTTAGCCAAGTTGAAAAGCGAACCAATTTTCTCTTGTGTAATACTGCTGCATGTACATCGCTTTTCATGAGAAGTCTGCCGGGCCCCTGGTGGTGGGTGTGGCCAGGAGGGCTGTCACACAGGACCAAAAATATTGATCTAGATCAGCTCAAAAGTGTACCACATGAAACAAGTGCCAAAATGCACCCTATATCCTCAGAAATGATAAACAGGCACTGACAGACATTTCTGGTGGTGGGACACTCCCGCCAGACTTGCATAACTGCCCCACCAGTATTGAGCTAGATCAGCTGAAATCCAAACCAAATGAAACCAACTGGAGATTGTTCAACACCATCCCAGGTATCATGAATGCCCACTGCCAGACAGTTTTTGTGGTGGGGTACCCCTGACAGACACGCCCAAAGGGCCACACCTTCAAATTGAGCTAGATCAGCTGAAATCCGAACCGAATGAAATCAACTGGAGATTGTTCAACACCATCCCAGGTATCATGAATGCCCACTGCCAGACAGTTTCTGTGGTGGGGTACCCCTGACAGACATCCCCAAGCATGCCAAAATGCCACACTCTCAAAGTGAGGTGGATCAACTTCAACTCAAGAGAGTATTATTGCCAGACTGACTCTGTGGGTATTATTCCACCACACTTCCCCATAACATGATAGTGCCTAATCACGAGCCATAGACATGCCCTAATATCACTATATTGATACTCAAAAGTAGTTAATCTGAAACCCAAACATGCCACAGATAAGAGCATCAAAAGATCACAGCTGTTTCAAAGAGTGTTTATGATGTGCTTGACTTAATACCTCCTGAAGTTACAGTCGGCACCCTCTTTGACTATACGTAATTACTACCGCATTGCATTTGTATATCTAGACTGCTTGCACACAAAGTATTTTTCATCCAGAATTCAAGGAGACAGGAAGTCAAGAGTACTGTGTCTGTTTTACTGAGAATCAAATTTTAAATTCCGTATTTCACCGTCTGCACTTTCATGAGGTGTGATTTCTGCTCAATGAATTTGAGGATTTTGTTGATCATCTATTGACAGGGTAAGTTTTTTCTCATAAATCTTGCCATTTCCAGATTTTCAACATTTTTGACTGTTTTCAGATCAATTTTATACGTTAAGATGCTTTCATCTTACCTGGATCCAGCAGACTTGCATGCATAATTTGATACATTGTAAAACATTTTATCAATGTATAAAACATATTACAATGTATAATTATCATTTCGGAAAAGGGACATTGGTTGGCCGTTCTCTAAGTTGGTATTTTATAAGTTTTCAATGTGATTGGAATTTCGTTAGGGTTAGTTTGGTATGTGGAGCATACGTATTGTTTCAGGTGAAACTTGTTTCTAATTATGGATGCAGAGGAATCTTCTTCCCAGATGGAAAGTCACATTGGGGAGCCTACTATAAGTGGAGATGAGCCACTGCAGGGGGGAGAAACGATAACATCTCAAATAGTTCGACAGGTATGGAAAGATTCTGTAGGATAAATCTGTCATACAGTTCTTGATTTTCTAAATATGTGTAGGAGAATGAGATCACAGTTTGCCCTCTAAATGTCAATTTTTACACTGACATGTTGAAATCAGTTAGCCTAAAACATTTAAATATGAAAGCTTCCTTACCACTTTATTTGGCTGATAGTTTGCTGTAACGAACAGATGCATGTAGATGCAGAATGCGGGGTTTGCAGCCCAGAGATCCTCATGATTTCAAGCTAGTAGGATCTGATGCGCAAAGCAGGAAAACCCAATGTCTGGTCAAAGGTTTCAGATGATTTAGATGATTACATGATTGGTGAACTAAGACTAAAGCCTAGTTTATGCTCAACGCAGTCGCGAGTGCTCGAGGTTCGCGCGCCACAAATGACGTAATCGTGCGCCTGGTGACAGCCACGAGCGCTGGCGCTTTGCGAGGTCGCACACCTCCAGGATTTTGAAACTTTTCGCAAGCTAGTTCAAAATGGATGAATTTGAGGGAAGACTAGCTGAGCTGCTTCTACTTCAACTGTTTTTTGCCTGCCTCTACTACTTCCTATAGTATTTTTTTCTACCGCCCCTTTTCTTTGCGGCGAATACTGCAAAGAAGACTGCAATGGGGAATGCGCCAAGTATAAATGCCTTCGTGCTCTGTTGAGGTGTGCGCGCAATCCGCGAACGGAGCCAGGCGAAGGTATAACTGGGGCTTAATAAGGCTATAGGATATATTTGGACATCTCATAGATTTTTTGAGTAGGCTCCTACTTGAAAATGAAGCTGTTGTATTTTGCATTTCGCCACATTATTTAATGATGTTTTCACAAATTTTCTAGCCAGCCACACCCACTGAAATGGCCAAGTGAGATCCCCAAGACCGCTGCAAAACACAATATATTTGACATGACTCATCTGACGATGAGCCATGGAGTGAGGACTCAGATTCTGATGTTGAAGAGGCAGAGCAGTCAAATTTGTAGGTCTGCAGTGTAGCACTTCTGGACAGTACCCAGTCATTGCCGTTATTTTATTAATTATTTATTATTTATTTATTATTTATTATTGCTTCCTTCTGGGTGGTGAATTCCTATATTGCATTTTGACGTTCACTACAGTGCCTTATTGCAGCGTTAAAACATTATTAGGGTTGGCGTATGCTAATTAATCTGATTAAACTACTTGTCAAGAGGACAACCAGCATTTTGGGTTTTGACTTTGGAACCTTTGTACACGTATCAACAAACACTGTCTTCTCAAGTTCGGTGTCATAGGTATATAGTTGGATTAGCCTATTCAAAATGCATACTTCATTCCTCTAAGAATAAATTAGATAGTATCTGTTACACATTTGATGACTATTTTTTGTGAAAATCTAAAGGTATCTTTGATCAGCAGCATTTTGTGGCTTGAATATGACACTGGAAAATGGAATTCTCAAGTTTTTTGGCACTCTGGCCACTCCATATGTATGGAATCTTTTCAATCCTACACAGATTTGTGAATTATAATCTTGTCTTCATACATTTAGAAAGTAAATGTAGATTGAAGTGGATTTTCAAATTTCAACTTTTTTATTCATAGGTTTAACAGGATAGCCCAGACGGTTTCCCAGAGACGGTGTATATTTTTGTCCCTGTTTATCTATTGAATGTATGGAAGTATGAGGACGCCCACCACAGAAATTGTTTGGCAGTGAGCATTTATGATACCTGGGATGGTGTTGAACAATCTCCAGTTGGTTTCATTCGGTTCGGATTTCAGCTGATCTAGCTCAATTTGAGGGTGTGGCCCTTTGGGCGTGTCTGTCAGGGGTACCCCACCCAGAGGTGTAAAATCCAGGGGTCAGAAAGTAAAAGTTCTGCCAGGTTTTTCTCCCTCCCACAGAACGAGCTGTTCTCTCATATTGGCTCTATCTCCTGTCCGAAGTAAATCCAGTTACAATAAAGTTCTGGGGAGGATTTTTACTTTCTCAACCTGGACTTTACACCCCTGACCCTACCACAGAAACTGTCTGGCAGTGGGCTTTCATTTTATTTATTTATTTGTTTTTTAAAGAAAAAATTTGGCATCTTGAATCCCACCCGAATCTGGAATGCCTAATTGGGGAACTATGTACAAGGCTTGCTCGTATGCGACCCCGTGCTGCCAATTCAGGAGAGTGAAGACAGTTCGCAGCTCTCCTCCGAAGCTCGCGCCTGTCAGCCACTGCTTCCTATACACTCATTGGTTGAATCCTCGCAAGTTCAGAACGAGGGCGGAGGATACCCGAACATGAGCAAGCTCAGAATCTTCCTTACGAGCGCCCGTCTGGCCAACAGGAGCAACCATTAGGCAACAAATAAAGCAACCATTTTATATTACCCTTCCCGGCAGACCCTTCCCAATTTGCATTCCTGTAGCGCAATGGCCAATTGTGCACTACTCTGAAAAAGCTGCCGACCACTGCCGCTTGGTACGACCGGGGCTCGAACCCGCGCTGTGATAGACGCTTCTGCTCCGCAGTGCAGTGCTTTAACCGAGTGAGCTATCTGGCAGCTCGGCAGTGGGCATTCAGGATACCTGGGATGGTGTTGAACAATCTCCAGTTGGTTCCATTCAGTTCGGATTTCAGCTGTTCTGGCTCAAGTTCAAGGTGTGGTCCTTTGGGCGTGTCTGTCAGGGGTACCCCACCACAGAAACTGTCTTGCAGTGGGCATTCATGATACCTGGGACGGTGTTGAACAATCTCCAGTTGGTTTCATTCGGTTTGGATTTCAGCTGATCTAGCTCGATTCTGGTGGGGCAGTTACGCAAGTCTGGCGGGAGTGTCCCGCCACCAGAAATGTCTGTCAGTGCCTGTTTATCATTTCTGAGGATGTAGGGTGCATTTTGGCTCTTGTTTCATGTGGTACACTTTTGAGCTGATCTAGATCAATATTTTTGGTCCTGTGTGACAGCCCTCCTGGCCACACCCACCACCAGGGGCCCGGCAGACTTCTATTCTCATGAAAAGCGATGTACATGCAGCAGTATTCCACAAGAGAAAATTGGTTCGCTTTTCAGCTAGGCTAACCCCTGTGGGCTCCTGCTCTAGTATTCGATCGACTTGAAACACCAAAGAAAATGTTTTTAAAAACACGGTTTTGCCAACTCGGGTTCACGTGTCAAGTTTGCTTGTGTAAAAATAAAATTCCGTCTGCAACCACTGACATTACCATAATACGTGTTAACTTTCAGCCTGTTTTTTGATTAAGAATTGGACAATTGAAGTTGTTGGAAGGCTCCAATTTGAGATTGCATGGATTGCAATTAACTGAAATTTCTTGAAATTCCGTCTTGAAGTAGAATGTTAGTAAATGCTGCTGAATATGGTATATATAAGGTTTCGATTTAGTTACTAATTAATTAGACAATTGCCATTCATACAATCTCATAATTTGAGCCTTCCTACAACTTTCCCAGAAGCTGGACAATAGACCTCATCAATGATTTTGTTACCATGAAAGTTTAACACATGGCATGCGACGCGTCAAACTTTCACAACGCACTAATAACCAGTTTACTAAATTATTCAATTACCAATGCTTCAACGTAAAAAGCACAGGTAATTTGATAAATTAATTATTGCATTGTGGCAGTGAATGTATAACTGCACTTCCCCACAAATATAGCCTATTCTTTTGAACACTGAAAACATTTTGATTAAGTGCAATCTTAAAATAAATTAGGTTGCACTGCTGAAAATAATACTAAAATGAGAGATGGAATTCAGAAAAAGTATGGGATTTATTAATTATTTGTTTTTTTCCCATCTCTACAATATCATTACCGAGCACTTTATCAATGTAGCCCATTGGTGATCTCTGTCATAATCTCTGTCTTAATAATTTCTTGATAATTACAGGCTTATTTATTGATCTTGATTATTCAGTAAATAAGTTGTGTGATTATTAATTAGGCAATCTTATATAGGAACAGCTTGAAAGTAATTATGCGTAAGGGTTAGAGGCTCACGGCACTACGCTGAAAATCTTATATCGCCTGCATTTTGGATGTTAATTGAAGGTCTGCATCTCAGTGCTTAGAAGGAACCCCCGTGCTTTATTCAGATTCACATGGGCTGTATGTTAGAGCTACACGTGTATGACTCCCTCTGATTCCGCACTCTGTGAGCTTAGTTGCAGACTGGTGATGCCACAAATTTCAGACACAAACTGCATTTTCACGATATCTTCATCTGCACTGTGGTTTGCACATGAACATGGCTGCAGGTACTCTGTTGGTTATTTCAATTTAATGTGTGAGTTGGACATGCTCAGCTCTTGATTTAGGAACCGAGTTTAGTTCATAAAAAGAAAATATGAAACACTCAGGGAGGACAATATGTGCTTGAAGCAAGTGCTGTTTTGTATGCTCACAATTAAAAGCTGTACCAACGTTGCATTCTCTTATTTTATTTCTGTCCTCCCCTCCCACCCTGGTTCTCTTGTTTACTCCAGTGGTCACTATCCTGTCCAGATCTCATGCAGACCGCAACGTCTACCCATCTGCAGGAGTACTTTTTGTCCATGTGCTTGAGAGAGAGTACTTCAAAGGAGAGTTTCCTCCATACCCTAAGCCAGGTACGTGGTGTAAACATCTACATTCTTTCAAGATGCTTTTACCGATATAAACATTATAGGATTCTGAAACAAGTTTAAAGTTCAGTCTTTGTGTGTCATCTTTGATATTTGCTTGCCAACTACAAAGCCTGCAAACAAAGCTTAAATTAAGAGAACCCGATGTTTAATTCGGCTGATAATATGAGATTGGCAATATAATGGGTCACCATCAGTTCACCTGGTGTGTGGAGGTAGTCTATCAAACTCGGTATTCATTGTGTGCAGTTTTCATTTCTTGTATTATTAATGTTACCATCCTGCTTAGGTTAGATATTTCTTGACTAACAGTTGATGTAAACGGAAGATGTTGACCAATGGCTAAGCAGTTTTAAGGCATGTGGATTTTGCTCTTGAGCTGATGAGTCATGTAGTGCGCACAGACCTGCTGAATGTCTACAGGGTAATTGCAGAGAATTTGGCTCCAAGTGCTGATTGACTTGAAATCAGTGAGTAGAAGAGCAGTTGCAGAATGAAGTTGTGCTTTGGTGCAGTAGACCTCCATGACCAGAAAATATCAACCTTTAATTCTGGTTATGGCTCATGTGGATTTAAGGTGCTTAACTTAGATTGCTCCAGTAAGCACAAATAGCTTTTTAAATTAATAACCTGTAAGCTGAAAGCTGTGTAAATCATTCTGAATAAACTTGTCTGCTAAGCGTATATGAATGTGAAATCCAAAAATCAGCACCTGCACACAAGTTACAATTTCTGTAAACCTCATTGTGTTGTCAGGTGGACATTTCATTAAGATGGGGAAGTCTCTGGTGCAATGAATCATAAGATCTGCTATTAATTGAAGCGGTTGTTGGGACTCAGTCAGTTGCACAAATAGGGTCATGCTCGACCAGGGCACCATCGAACTTTACCCAGGGTAAAATTAGATGTATCAAAATGTTCCTTGGTACTGGGAATATTTGTCAAAGTACCCGACTCTGGTCCTTATTGATGGAACTGAGGTACGTTTCCACAGACCTGCCAGAAACTGAGGTACGGTTTGATATATCTTATTCTACCCTGGCTACAGTACTAAAAGCTTCTGTAGCTTATTATGTAAGGTAATTACCAGATCAAGAGTCCTTGATATTCATAAAACTGCTGTAACTGACAATGCAGGTGATGCCAGCAATGATCCCATCACGTTCAACACCAATTTGATGGGCTATCCAGACCGGCCAGGATGGCTCCGTTACATCCAGAGAACTCCGCACAGCGATGGCGTGCTGTATGGATCTCCTCCCTGGGATCACGTGGGCAGACCAACTGTCATTGAGGTAGGAGACAATGCCTGTCCTCAAACTACATTCACATCATCGCCATTAATTACTGCAGACCCTGAAAGGCTTTGAAAGGGCTTTTTCTGCTGGTGCTTCAAGGTATTCTGCTCTCTTTTGATTTGTGTTTTATGCACAATGTATTTCTGTCTTTGGTTTATTTATGACTGAGTTTTTAAAAAAAAAACAACATTTTAATGAATCTTTAACAGGATTTTAAAAAGAGGTTGTTGTTGCAAATTGCTGCCGTTGTTTTAAATTATAAAATTCTTTAACATGTTACAAGCTATCAAAAGCAGAGTTGGGATCTGTCGCATTTCGATTCATAGCTGTTTGGCTGTGATGTGCCCCTAATGCAACCAGTGAGTTTCAGTGACACTGAATGTCACAGATTCCTGTGCTGTTCTGCTCCCAGCTGCTTCTCTCTGCTGGTACTCAGTTCACATGAGCAACATGTAAGGCTTGCCCCAGTTTCTCATGCAGCTGTGCTCCACGCAGGCCTGCCTACATGTTTGCTTCTGATTCAGACAATCCTCTCATGTAAGCCATCCTGATCAGGGCTTAAACTTTCACCCTTGTGTGTGCGTTGCAGATTACGGCATACAACAGACGTACATTTGAAACGACAAGGCACAAATTGATCATTAACATCATGTCTACTGAAGGTAAGTTCCCACTACAGACTGGTGAGAGAAAAAAAAATCCTCTGAATTTCTCATGGCACTAGCTGGCTGCTTGTTACTCATGGCGACATAAAGTCTGAACTCAGTATATTGCTATTTAAAATGTTCCGCAGCTTCACATTTGCCAGTAAGATTATGTGTTGTGTATTTGTTTCTGGATGCAGGCTGACATTTTCGTTTGGCTAACCAGAATTCCACTGTCTTCCTGCCAGCATACGCCAAAACTTATGTCCCTGTCTGAACACTTACAGACTGCACTGTCATTTGAGGCCAAAGAAATAATTGAATACATGTTCAGGTAACATTGAGAAGTTAACTTTGCTTGGTAGGTAAATTGAAGTGAAAAAATTTTGCCCATTTCCCCCTGCCCAATAGAACACCTTGAGGTTATGACTTGTAGCCATTGATGAAGCAGTTGAATTGAGACAGTATTGGGTTGAATTGAGACAGTGTTGGGTTGAATTGAGACAGTATTAGGTTGAATTGAGACAGTGTTGGGTTGAATTGAGACAGTATTGGGTTGAATTGAGACAGTAGTGGGTTGAATTGAGACAATATTGGGTTGAATTGAGACAGTATTGGGTTGAATTGAGACAGTGTTGGGTTGAATTGAGACAGTATTGGGTTGAATTGAGACAGCTGTTCAGTACAGTGTGGATCTCCCTTAACAGCCACATTACTGCACTCTGGCAGCACACTGCGGTTAGTTCCAAAGTCACGCACCAGAATCAAGGCTGGAGTCGTGCCTTGATGTTAGAACTGATTCCAGATTAGTCTTAGGCGGCTCTGGCCCACTGCTTGAAGTTGGTTGTGCTCATGATAGACTCTTGTGCTGTTCCTTCTTCTCGACACCTGAACAGATTTCCCGCTGCAGTACCAGGCAGAGTTCTTTATCAAGAACATGAATGTGGAGGAGATGTTGGCCAGCGAGGTGCTGGGAGA